GAAAGAAAGAAAGAAAGAAAGAAAGAAAGAAAGAAAGAAAGAAAGAAAGAAAGAAAGATTCTTCATTTTTGGACAACCTATTCAGACTTATGCTGCAATACTATTTATGCTTATGTAAGTAAGACACTTACTTCCCAAAGGGCACGTCTATGGTTTCATAGTTTAGGAGTTTCAGATCTGAGCTGCAATCCAGATAATCAGTAGACAGTAGCAAAGAGAGGCAGAAAAAGTATATCACTGCTATTTAATGATTGTCTGGACTTTATGGTTCAGATCTGATAGCATTATTGCAGTTAGTGGAATTTCTTCTTCCTGCTATCAGAGAAGTGAATGCATTAAATTAAATGGTAATTCAATTGCATCAGTAGTTTAACAAGGACTGATGAAAACAATCCATTCTCTCACACAGAAATCTGGCAGAAAGCAAACATTTCTTCTAAAGAATTTATGAGACATACAAAATGATGTAAAATCATTTGAAAACAGGTGGGGAGGGACAAAGCCTGAGGCTTTTAAGTTGATGAATGACAAGCACTTATCTAGAAAGATTTATGAAATTAGTAAACTCGTCATAAAACAGGGCTTACAATGGATTTTATTTTTATTTTTTGCCCTGGAATATAGAGTTTTCTCAGTGAAGTTGACTATTGCTTAAAGATCCATTGTAGTTTATTTATATCTCATTACATAAGACAATTTCTTTCTTTCTCACTTTTCTGATTTTTCTCCATTCCCACATGCAACAGAGATCGTGAGAGGATTCCACGCAAAAGAGACTAACCATTTGGCTGTGGGGAAATGTAGGAGTATCTCTTGAAGACATAGGTGCCCTAAGTCCAGTTCAAGGGCAGTTAGTGCTTCATAGTCAAGGAGGACCTCCCAAACAATCCCAAAAGCTTTAACATCTGTACCAGTGGGGTGCGAAAGGGAGGGCAGCATTTCAACTTTTTCTGAAACAAGTGAAAGATTATGGATATAACACTGCCAAACACACTTTTGATCTTCACAAGAACTCTATGCAGTGGATTTGACTGAGCATCAGTTAACTCATAAAATGTCACCATATGATGAATGAGGATTTGCATTGGGTCCCTCTGATTAAAGTGACTGCAACTAACAAATAAGCAACAAAAGCCCACTTTGCTAACTTTTGCTATTTTCTGGATATTGCAATATAAAATAGGCCTGTTAACTCTGGTGGGTTTTTTTAAAAAAAACCCAGTAAATAAGCAAGTAAATATTAAATTTACTTAATATTTCTCTAATGTTATTAATATTTATTTAAATCTATCTACTGGGATCTTTGGATTAAAACAAACAGTGACCTTTCTTCTTTCACACATTGGAGGCCTGCTCTATTTTCCTTTCCCTTAAAAGAAATTTGGAGCGAAATTGGACTCAAAAATAGGAAAAAAATTGGGAAACCAAGTTAAACGCTGAGAGAGGAATGGCTGCTGCAGCAGAGAAGTGGCCGGTGATCAGAGAAGTGTGAATATGTTTACAGCTCCCAACACTGAAACAGAGCTGGCCACACCCAGCAGGTCATCTACAGTAACTGTCTCTAAAGTGTTAGATGAGAATTGTTGCAAATTTTATACATCCTGAACCAAGGATAGGATAGAATTGACTCAAAGACAGAAAGACTACTTTTATGTCAGAACATTTAAGGCCTTTCCTTAACTTAGCTCCAGGACTTTCACATTTAAGTTGGCAACTAATGGCAATATTTTCATAGTGAGTCAAGATGTTGTGCTTCGTCAACAATTTGGTCAACATTCTTGTCAGGTGATTCCAGTGGTGGGATTCAAATAATTTAACAACCGGTTCTCTGCCCTAATGATTTCTTCCAACAACCAGTTCACCACACTGCTCAGAAAGTTAACAACTGGTTCTCCTGAAGTGGTGCAAACTGGCTGAATCCCACCACTGGGTGATTCCTAGGGCTGGATTCAACCTGGCACATTTTAAACATTTTAGACTAGCATAGTCCTTGATCTCAAATCCCAGAGCATTGTCTCTAAGGGTAATTCTGTTTTGGGGTAGTAGAGTCTAGTTTTCAAACCAGTTCTCCCATTGTCTCTATGAACTAAACCTTCACTTGGGGATCTGACTCACTCTGAATTGCAACTGACCTGTGCAGAAGGGAGGAGAGTTCATGGTAAAGTGGGAGAAAGAACTCTTTCATAGCGCAACTCTGCTACTATCCACCTATCTTTTTGGTTGTACTTCAATTGATGTGGTAAAGGAGATATCCCTCTTCTAAAATACTATACTATTAAATCTCTGTCCAAGAGGAGGCTGATCACGAGCTGATGTCAGCTGATCATTCTGAACATGCCAACTCAAAATATTTGATAAATGAAAGTGAATATATATGTCTCAGGATAATGTTGCAGGATCCAATCTGGGTCAGTCATCGGAACCAGAAGTTTAGTCTTCTGAGCTTTCGGACTAGTGCTGGAGCCCATCCTCAGGGAACTTCTCTCTAGCAGAGTGTGTGCTTTGGGCTATTCTGGATTTATATGCAGTCTATTATATATTTATATGTTCTGATTTATATGCAGTCTGTTGTAGCTTTTTAGATGTTGATTGGGGTGTTGATGGCTGCTGATTAAGTCATTTGCTGTTGTTTCCCTATTCAAAATATTTGCACCAAACTACAGTGAATTTTGAAAGATGGCTAAACCCTCTGGGGTAGACATCTACTAAAACTTGCCTTCTTCCTCAACCCCAGCCCTAGAGCACATTAAGGAGAATTATTGATAGTTCTTGTCAGTTAGTGATGTTTAATGGGAAGGAAGAAAAACAGGAGAAATTCAACAATCCTGGTAATCATCATGCACATTCTTTTGGCAGAATTGAGTTTTCCACTGGATATCTACTTATATCAGTAGAGTTTTCTGTCCGTTCAAGAATTCATGGATAGCTATGTTGAGAAGAGCTTTTAATGATGACTTTGTTTTATTCATGTATTAGGAATTGAAATGAAGCTATTGTCAGGAACCAAATAGATAGTTTATCATTGTTAGGGCACAATTCATGGTATCAGCCCTTTGAGATAAACCAAGTGGGGACTAATGGAACTCTACTATTGCCGGATATATTAGCAGAATCTTGGAAGTAAAGATTCTCTCACCACTATTTTTTATACATCAAAGAGTATCAAGGAGCGTAATCTTGGGGTTCTTTCTCACTCCCTCATATCTTTCAGGGCTAAGCTGGTGTTTCCACAACAGCTGTTGAATACATTCTTCAAAGCCATACCACTCTTCAAAGCCATACCACTTGTACATTTCAAGTAATCTCTTTTGATTCTCTTCAAATGCCACAGTTACTACATTAATCACATTGTTGGCACTGAAGATGCCAACTGACCGAGTATCTCACTGGCATGGAAACTAAACCCTCCATAGCAAGCCCAGTTATATATTCTCAGACTTTTGGGGTCTAATTAGTTGAAATTAAAATATAGAAACACAATAGAATTGATTTTTAAAAAATCCATTTGTGTTGGGAAATTCTTGCCCAGTATCAAGTTTGTTCTATTTTAAAGATGACCATTACATTTTATAGTTTCTTTGATGGTGTGCTTGTCAGGCAAAAGGAAATAAGTTGGATATAATAAAAAGAGATTAAGCTACTATGGAAAAGATTGCCCTCCACTTGATTTGTTTGTTTTGGCTACAATTGCACAGAATATTTCAACAGCTAAGACAAAGGTTAAGCACAAGTAGCAGTAATTGATAATGGTAAACCACTTCTAACCATAGGAATAAAAGTATTTTATTGTCTGCTTGCGACAGCTGATCACAGGGAAGTGGAGTGTTTTATGATAACATTTATCACGTTATTTTGTAAAGATAATCAGATCTGAGAAGCAGCTTTAAATGTTTAGAAATCCTGTTCAATTAATGTTTAAAGCAGCTAAGGAAACTAAACAGAGAATATCCCACAATTGAAACATTTTTTTCTACAATATATTCTCTAAAGTGCAATTGTGCCTATGTGAGGCAGCTTAAATTCATCACGGGGAAGACCTTTTCATTGGGAAAATGATGTAGTTCTTTTTATCAAGGCAAAGAGATGTGATTTGCCTTAATGAAACATTGCACTGCCTTCTAGGCACGCCATCATCTTCTACCAAATGTCCTCTGGGCTCTTTCCTTCATTTGCAAATGTTGGACAAGGAAAGCTTTCCAAGGAAAGCTCCAAAACACGGCACGATGGAAGCTTTTTTAAGTGCTTGCAGTCATCTATAGCATCTTCAATACTTGGAAAGTGGAAAGGATTTCCAGAGAATTCTAAAATGAGTGTTGCTCTCCTCCAAGCATCCTACAGCATTGGCAAAAGCCAAAATGGTGACTTTTTTCACCCTTAGAATTGCCAAAGGAAAATGAGCAGGATTTGGGGAAGCAGAGCAAAGAGAAGCACTGTAAAGCATCAAGACTATTTCTCTTTATTCTTAAAGGTCAGCAAGCTGTGTTGCTTCCTGAAGAAGCTTTGAGGGATGATTCACACAAACTTTGCGACCTCCTTCAGGTGTTATTATTATTTCAGGCCTAATGAAACCACAGTCTATGCTATTTTGAACAAAATAAAGAGAAAAGAAGAAGAATTAAAGAAATATGCAGAGAAGGTAAGTATTTCTCAACAAATTAAGCTTTTATAACAACCTTTAAAAGTAAGAGAAATGGAAATGATGAATTTTGTGAAACAAAAAAAAAAATGAGTTTGAAAGAAGCGGCTAGCATATGCATTTCAGAAAGAGAAAGAAAAGAATATTGAAATTTATATTGGAAATGTGAACAACAAGAAGGGACATTTTTATCATGCTTGAGGGTCATGGAAAAAAATCTAGAAGATTATTGTCTCAAACACACACAATAATTCAGAGGATTTTTAAGATTAATATAAAATTGAGACTAATTAATATAATTTTTTTCTTTTAGGTCTGAAGGACAAATATTTAAAAAATCATATGTGCATGATAACTGCAGCAAGATTAGTATTCTTTCCATCTGTGCACACAGATGGAAAAATTCGGCCTTGCTCACAATGGAGAAACAATTGGTGAAGATGATGGAACTTGCTGAGATGGCTAAATTGACTTCTTTGATCAGAGAAAAGTCAATAGTTGCATACATTGCTGACTGGAAATTCCTTATGGACTTTTTGTGTAATACAGAAAAAATGAACTTAAGAGTTATGGTTTTGATGATTCCACAGGATAGGTTATAGAAAAGAGAGAGTTGTGTTGTAACCATAGAATAAAAAGTAAAGTTGTGATTGTACATATGACTGCTGTAAAGAAGATTGGAAACTACTTCTTTGCAGTTTTTTTTCTTTTCTATTTTTCTTCCAGGTTGCTACATCGAGTCTGCTGCATTGAGCCAACTCTTCTATGCTACAGGGCAGTATTAAAGCAGATATAAACAATGGGTTTCAGTTCAGAAGAGGACATTCATTCTCTATCATATCCCGAGAGGGAAATGAGAGAAATAATGAGATGCAATTTGATGTGATGAGATTGGTGACACTACTTAGCCTGCTTGTGAAAGGCAATTGGACATTAAACCAAAGGAGACCAAAAGCCTAGATTATTTCAATCCTGCTAAATAATTTATGTGATGATAGCCCACTTATAAATTATAACTCATCATCATCATCATCAATATCATCAACATCCTAATGTTTTTCCTGCGGGTGCTGGGTCTACTTTTCAGATCAACAACTGCCATCTTGTGCAATCAAACACACCATCTGGATCCAACTGGGCATTTTTCATGTCCACATTTATTGTAGCTTGCCATCTTTGCTTTGACTTCCACATGGGCACTCGCTATCTATATTAAAATGGAAGGCAATGTAGGCAACGATGTGGGTTCTGCTCATAGAACATGGCCATACCACTGTAGGTATTTCTCCCACATTTTTTCTGATATTGACATGGTGCCCATTTGCTTATGAAGTGTGTCATAGCTGACATGGTCAAGGAGGCAAACCCCTAACAACCAACAAAGCGTGTGCATCTCCGTGGCATGTAAAATGGCTAGCACAATGTAGTTTCTGGGTGCACCATTATAAAATATAATATGTATCATTATAAAATATAAATGATGTAATGAAAAAAAGGATTGTTAAAAACTGATTTGACTTCCTTCAAGTCAAGCTTAACTTCTGGTGACATGATATTCTTTCACTAGTATGGATGAAGTTTGCCTTTGTCCAGACTTTTTAAAACTTTATTGTCCAGCTTATCCACTTCTGACCCTGCCTAACTTAGGTGTAAGCTAAGATAGGACTTACTAATTCCAAGATCAGTTGCATTAATTGCTGCAACTGCATAAAACTGCCTGATAGTTCTCCAAAATTCCAGAGTTGAAATCTGTAATAACAAAACTATAGCAATAAAACAGGTTTGTCTACTGAGAATAGAAACTATTACAATTGATGCAGATGTTTTACACTGGTAAAAGGATCAAGTAGTAGCAGTAATAAATAAGAGTCTTGACAGAAAGCAATAATACACAAGATAACATTGGACTGTGTGAGTCATTGGCTTTATCTGAAATAAGACAGCTTCATAGGATTATATAGCCTTAAGAGCCACTTCTTATTGTGGATGAATATGTGTTTCCCAGGCTTCATTAAAGAAAAGTGGCTGATATTTGCCTCTGAGGTCACATGTTTTTAAAAGCCTTTTTACTATCTCAGCAAAGTTTAGAGAGAAGGTATGTTCACTTGGGAGTCTGAAGAGTAAATCTCACTGTTCAAAATATTTTTAATTGCCCAAAATAGAATTTTTATAATACTTCTCTCCAGCAAGGCTACAAGCTCACCATCATTAGAAAATAATTAAGCTGTAAATATAAAGTAAGATGCTACCATGTCTTCCATAGGAAAAAAAATGAAAATTCAAAGTCTGTTTTTCATTACTGAAAAGTATAAGTATCACTTAAGTATAACTTAAGTGAATAAATAAATGCATGAAAATTGCTGGTCCCCCTTTGTCCTATTGCTCTACCCACTGCAACTATTCTCCAAACTTAAGTTCTTTTGACCTCAATAGGGTATCTTCTCCTGGGATAGAGGGATCATAATCCAGAATAAAAGGGGAAATTCAACAATCAGTAATAAAAAGAATGATGTCCTTGGAATAAATCAATATTAAAACACTATCCAGAGTAGTGGGTCATTATAATGGCAAAGATTAGGCTCACATATACCAAGTATCTGCTCCAGAAATGGCTTTGGCAATCACTCTTTCCATTAGAAAAGGCCATTTTAAACTCGTATTCTGACTTCAATGGTTGTTGATTGGATTTAAACCCAAAGATCTAATTTTGCCAATTCTAGCTACTTTTAGGGAGATGCTGTATGTCCAATTCTTCATGACATTGGGTGAGAAAGGAAAAGTGAACTTCTTTGAACTTGCTTCAATAGTTGACCCTTTAAGGAAAGATGATGTTGTGGAAGTAGGCATCATCTTTTGGTAAGGAATGTCTTATAGGTAGCAGCTATGATGTCTCTATTCTGTGCATGATAAAATATGTTTTTGCATTTCAAAATAAAAGATACTGACAGTATTCTTTTCTCTTCTAACCAAAAAGAAGATATGGATTTGGGGAGCAAGGGGCATACAGGGTGCATGATAAGCCAATCCTTGCTATTTATTCCAGTTTTTTAAAGATTTATTAGACAGACCAGCTGCTTTGGCTTTCAATAGGTAGCGCTTAGTATTTTGCCCTACTTTCAGTACATTATTTCATGGAATTTGGTGCAGGTGTGGGTTAAAAATCAGTGAAAATCTAAAACATGACAACATTTAGAAGGCAGCATTTGAGACAATGTATGGTGTAATTGGGGTTAAGTCTGTGCAATAATAAACTTCCTAACAGTGAGCATAATCAAAAACGTCATCAAAAAAGCACAACAAAGAATGTTTTTTCTGCACCAACTCAGAAAGCTCAAACTGCCCAAGGAACTGCTGATACAGTTCTACAGAGCAATTATTGAGTCTATCATCTGCACCTCTATAACTATCTGATTTGGTTCTACAACCTAACAGGACAGTCAAAGACTTCAGAGAATAATTCGGACTGCAGAAAAAAACAATTATTACCAACCTGCCTTCAATCAAGGACCTGTATACTGCATGAGTCAAAAAGAGGGCTGTGAAAATAGTTACAGGCCCCTCACATCCCAGACATAAACTGTTTCAACTCCTTCCCCCAAAACAACGCAATAGAGCGTTGCACACCAGAACAACTAGACACAAGAACAGTTTTGTCCTGAAAGCCATCACTCTGCTAAACAAATAATTCCCTCAACACTGTTCAACTATTACAAAGTCTGCACTACTATTACTGTTAATCTTCTCATCACTCCTTATCACCCATCCCCTCCCACTTGTGACTGTATAACTGTAACTTTGTTGCTTGTATCCTTATGATTTATATTGACTGTTTCCTAATATGATTTGATTGCTTATTGTACCCTATGACTATCATTAAGTGTGGTACCTTATGATTCTTGACTCTTGACGAATATATCTTTTCTTTTATGTATACTGAGACCATTTTCACCAAGACAAACTCCTTGTGTGTTCAACCACACTATTCTATTCTATTCTATTCTATTCTATTCTATTCTATTCTATTCTATTCTATTCTATTCTATTCTATTTGTATGTAAATTAACCAGTGGAACAGCTTGCCATCAGAAGTTGTAGGTACGGGAGGTTTTTAAGAAGAGAGTGGACAGTCACTTGTCTGAAATGGCATAGGGTCTCCTGCTTGAGCAGGGGCTGGTGGACTAGAAGACCTCCAAGGTCCCTTCCAGCACTATTCGGATTGATTGATCTCAACTAACTATAGCTCAAGACATGAATTACTGAAAAAATATTGTTTGCAGAGATGTCAGATGATATAAAATTCCTCTTTGTGTCACTTAATTTGAGTGGGTTGTTTCCATTCATATATGGTGATTATCACTCACTGTAATCACTGTAATCTTTGGCCATGCATCAAAGAAAAGTACAATAAGAATATTATGCTATGCTTCATAACTCAGACATACCAAGATAAAAGTCAGATTATCTTAAAGTGCTTTGAACCAAAACATTTGTAATTCTACACTGTTGCCACTCAAGGATTGCAAACCACAAGATCCTTTAAAAAAACAACTGGTAAAAATTAGCTGAGTTAAGTGGACATCAATTAATTTTGGGATATAGCAGTACAGTTTTAGTTCAGTCTCATCAAAATGCTGCAAAGCAATTCTATTAAATAGCAATCCCCATTTTATTAAAGTTTGTAGTTTATTCACAATGACAAGAAGAACTCTTGGGCATTATATTATTTCTTACAGGACTCTTAAGAAAGATTCCAGATTTAAGTTGTATCTAACCACTTTTTAATTGCATAACTTATAAACATAGTATCTCATTGTTGTTGTTGGTTTTTTTCTGCCTCCTCCCCACCTCCTAAATCTTTTCTTCCTTTTCTGTTTCAGTGTAGTACTATACTGAGTATCTTGGGAATATCATAAATGTCATTTATGAGGATCTTTTGTATTTTATACTGCTCAGTCTTAAGTAGATCAAAATGATCACCACAATTACTCATACTACTTTATTGTAGGAGATATTTGATAAATACTTATTATCTTATCCTACTATTCCATACTTTGCTCCACTTCTACTGATATTCATTTCATTATTGCATGTGCATGTTTGAAAGACTTCAAGCATAGTGGTAAATTATGAGCAATCACTATTTTGGGGGAAAGAAAAAAAATGGGTCTGCTTATAGCAGCAATAATTGCTGTAGAACAATAATTGTTAATGCTAAAATGTAAATAAGCATCTTTCTGAAGGGAGAGAAAGTTGTATTTTTAGAAATGTAGATGGAAATGTCAGGGGAAAAATCCCCACAGGACACAGGACACAAATTATATCAAACAGCAACAATAGAAGCTTTCCAAAAATGCAATATCCATTTCAACTTAGCATGTGGCCTTTTTTGAAATTCACAGTTGACACTAATGTTCCACAATGGAATTCCCTACTAAATTAATTCAGAACAATAGGATTTCCCATTCCCCACCTAAGGATTTCCTGATTGTCTGGTAATTATATTGTAGCCATAAATGCAGAAATAGGGATAGCTGCGTTTTGGAGTTAAATACTATATGCAGCTTTTAGACATCTTGACTCCAATGTTTACTGTGTATGTAAATAGACATAGACAAAGGGTGGTGACCTTTGTTTTGTTCAGGTGGGATCCAAAGGAAATGAAGCATAGCACTATTTTTCCCCACTATGTGTTATTAAATCTTCACAGCTATGAGTTTTTCTCTTTCTTTCACCATCACCCCTATACATTTTCTTCTTTGAAAAGTCATTTTTCCAGAGCTGCCAATATTTTAACTCCAGCATGCTAAGGTGGATTTCAACCAGGAAGGCTTCTCTTGATAAAGGGAGGCAGGAAAAAAAATCCATGTGGTTAACATTTTAAGTGCTGAATATATCTGCTCACTCTG